CATTGTACAGTGGCATTAAGTGCCGAAATGTGCACCTCTGCCTACCTCTTTCGGGATAAAAAGGCGTGATGTTATGTTATGTCATACGCGTTTAAAAAAACCTCTACTATGTTAGGGCTCCTCTACTTGTTCTTAGGAACCTATGTGCTTTTTAGCTTTCTACGACTTCTAGAATCGACTACATATTGTTTGCCAGTCATTCAGTAACTGTTCTTGTATTGCTGGTAGTTCATTTGTGGCACTGATTACTTTCCATCAGATGATCTGTGATTCCTTATCTGCACAGTTTGATCCATTTACGTTTCTTTTCATTAACCCATTCTTGGTCACTGTGCCAATTTGGAAACACCTAATAAAAAATCGTTGAGTACCGTCATTATAGACACAATTATAGAACAATAGGTTGCGGTCACCGGTGACCGCTTGGTGTTTGACAGTTTAAGGTAGAAACATTGTATTTTATAATGTAAATATTTTTTTTCCTTTTGTTCATTAACCTGTCGTTTGCCGTAACACAGATCCGGCGAGACACAATGTATTTTTTATTGTGTCTTATATACCGGCAGTCAAGAGGTTAGGGTTAGGAGGGTAAGGCTTAAACTAAATGGGAAAAAATAAACTGAAAGATGAAACCATAATATAGACAGAAATCACAATGTTCTTTGTTCTTGCAGGATGAAAGAGACAGAATAGAATCATCAGGCGGCACTGTAATGTACTGGGGTACTTGGAGAGTTAACGGACAGTTGGCGGTCTCTAGAGCAATCGGTGAGTACATTTTGTTAAGATAAATATTTCAACACATACATAACATCACGCCTTTTATGTCCGAAGGGGAAAGCAGAGGTGCACATTATGCCACTGTACAATGTAACACCCACTTATTACTATTTATGTTATGAGCCCCATGTAATAGGGAGTGATAGTGAGTCTATTGCCGTATACGGGGCACAGTCCCAGACTCCGTGCTACTACTAAGATTTTTTTTAAACCCATTAATACTTTGCCCGACCCGGGAATCGAACCCGAGACTTCATGCCCGGCAATCGCACTAGCGACCACTCGGGCAACTTGGCAGAGCAAATATTTCAGTTATATTTATATTACAGCATATATTGCATACGCACCTGTTCCTCTAGGATATCGAGGATCGACTACTTTCAAGTCATCATCAACAGCCTATAAATACCCCACTGCTGAGCAAAGCCTCTTCTCACACGGAGAAGGTTTGAGCATTTCAAGCCATGCTCACACACAATCATGAGTAGCTACAGTAACTCTACAATATTAATAACTAGCGACCCGCCCCGGCTTCGCACGGGTGCAATATGCATGTATTATACATACAAACCTTCCTTAAGAATCACTCTATCTAGTAAAAAAAACCGCATCAAAATCCGTTGCGTAGTTTTAAAGATCTAAGCATACATACGGACATACAGCGAAAGCGACTTTGTTTTATACTATGTATTGATGATATGCAAATATTGATTTTTGTTTTTTCATAGGATCATTGAGTCTCAGTTCTACCTAACGATGTGTTAGTTATATCTTGGCGAGTAATAAATGTTTTTATTATTAATGGAATTGAGTAAAGATGTTATACAATGCAATCTCAAGTACTTATCAGACTGTTCTGCAGTTTAGCTTTTTAAAAAAGACAGTTGCGCATCAGCGTAATTCGAAGGCATTTCTGTCAGGCGCTTTTATGACACTGCTAGCTATTATATCAGCACTAGGAACATTCGATTCCCGGGTCGTTTAAAGTACTACTGGGTTTTAATAAATTCTCAGCAGTAGCACGGAGTCTGGAAATGTGCCCGGTATATGGCAATAGGCTCACCCCCTATTACATGGGATTCATAACATAAATAGTGAAAAGTGGGTGTTACATTGTAGTGTCATAATGTACACCCCTTCGGGGATAAAAGGCGTGATGGTATGTTATGTTATGTCACTAGGAATAATATCAGAAAAAACTAAAATATTTACAAGATACAATCATTATTAATGGTTATATTTTTAGGAATTTCATTCTATAAATACTAATTCTTATTAGCAAAACCATGTTTTACTCAACTTCTTTTGAACCTGAGGTCTTTTGATTGTACAACAACAAACTAAAACATTCATCATTCACACGTATCATTACTACGAACGACCGAACATGGATTTTTACGCTATAAAGTTCTGCGTTATGTCCCGAACGACATTTTCACGAGAGCGCCCCGCGCCGCGTCGCGTTGCCTATTTAACTTTTATGGCGAACATAAAGTTTCACAGTACCGGCCATGTTTTCAACGAGAGCTCGAACCTCCTTTAACGAGAGCTCGAACAAACATTATGTTCGACCGTTGACGCAAATTACTCCATGTATAATTACTTAGCTTTGTTTTCATTATTTTTAATCATGTGACTTTTCTCATGCGACCTCTACGCAAAGGAAACTTATTTGTACAAGATGCGTATCATTTCGCGCTAGTTGGAAATTGGTTGTTTATGAAGTTAATTGGCCGTGAGAAGCTTGGTTTGTCGTCGAATATTATTAAAATTATCATGTTTTTTTTTTATATTTGTTGAATCTATTTGTAAAACTGGTAAAATATATCATTCTTTGTGTATTAGTAAAGTCATTATCCATCTGTCGTCACTCAAATTATAGCTTTGTCATTCATATAGTTTTTGCATCTTTTTGCGTAAAGACAAAAAAATACAAACAACTTAATCCATAGAAGCTCGAAGAAAAATATCTTGGTTCTTAAACAAAAGTTAAATACAAACAAAAAATGTGTCAAAATATCATTGTTACATTACAAAAACAGACACAATAAACATTGTGAAGGGTTTATTTGGTAGTAGCTGTTTTGTAGGCGTAAGAGTGGAAAGTTAATAGGTCGTTTTATTGTTATTGGCGGGCGAGCGAAGCCATTTCTCACGGGTGCCGGGATGCGAGGCTGGCGTGTGCCGATCATTAAGCTTTTAGTCGGACCCCCGCAGTCAGGAGTGTCGGGACGGACCTTTATTCAGTAAAACACCGCTAATGATGCCACCGATTGTGATGAATTGACGGGTCGCTGTTAATTTTTCGGCTCTATTGTTTTCTATGAAGTGGTTTTGTTAACAAGGTGGCGAAGGGTTCGACAAGGATTTTGTTCAATTTCATGCGTAATAAGGGACGGTACCTTTTTGTACGTATTTTATTATCAATTGTAAATACTGAGTTAATATTTGTCTTGAAATAAATAAATGGTATTGGCAGCCTTTTCGATAAGGATTTTGGATAGGGCGTATATTCATTTTTATTGTTCCTAAATTAAATATTGACTGCCTCGTTGGCCGAGTGCTCGCAAGTGCGACTGCCGGGGAAGGGGTATCGGGTTCGATTCCTGGGTCGGGCAAAGTATAACTGGGTTTTACA